GAGCACCTTTATTTGGCCCCTTTCAGACCTTCACGATACCTAGGTGTAGGTTCCTCTATTTATTCTCGTCCAAAAAGTCCGGATGTTTCTTTCTTCATGTTTTCAGTATTTTTAACCTTTTCTATCTTTCAGCATGCTTGTCGTAGCAACATCTGGTGCTGGTTTTGTTCTTGGGAGTGGCCATGTCATAGATCTTGCTGCGCTTTGTTGTACCTGTGCTGGTACAATGATGGTTGCAGCATCTGCTAGCTCTCTAAATCAGGTAATAAGTGATGACTTTGCTTTGTCTTGGTTCACAACTAGTTTATTGTTGTAAAGTGTTTTAATATTATGCTTCTGCAGGAGCTTATATAGGCTTTTGATGAGGTATCATATTAGATATGCTATACTGGTATATGCTTTTTCATATCATATTCTAGCCAATGCTTTACTACAACTTTTTGGGGAAAATCTGGTTTCATTTTTTTTAATTGAAGAGCTCGGACTGAATGGTAATTGTGCTGAGCTGCTCCAGTACAGTTAAAATAATTTTAGAGGAACCATGCTGGGAAATTTCACAGGAAAACAATTAATTCTATGACTCGCTCTCTCCTATTTGATCTCAAGTTCTTGTGTCATGTCTCAGGTGTTTGAGGTACAAAATGATGCTAGAATGAAACGCACAAGGCAGAGACCACTACCTTCAGGACGTATTAGTGTTCCTCATGCAGTAACACGGGCCACTACCATTGGGATTGCTGGGACATCTTTGTTAGCTTGGAAGGTTTTATATTATTTTCTTATTGATAGTCTCTGGTCTTAAAATTTGTTGCCTTTCCCATTCTTGTGGCCTTTCATACTATTATGTGAATTGGGAACTAATGTTTGCCAAAACTTCTTTGACAAGGTTGCCGCAGGCTAATTACTTGGCAGCGGGTCTTGCAGCGTGCAATCTAGGTCTTTATGCGTTTATCTATACTCCCTTGAAACAAATACATCCAGTTAATACATGGGTTGGAGCAATTGTTGGTGCCATTCCTCCATTGCTTGGGTATGTTTCTCCTCTAAGTTTTATAATTTTCTTTGACTGCCACTCATTCATGGACTTGTTTATATCTAGATCATATAATATTTGTATAAAAGAGAAATGGCTCATAACTGGTGATGTTTCATCATTTGCTGAAACCTGGAATAGTTCTATGTGATTTCTGTTTAAGTTAGAAGTCAACGATAAAGGAAAAACTTTTTCACATGAAGTAATTGCCAAGAACTTTTGCTGTTAGAAATATTGATGTAACAGTAGTGCCTGCATGAATTTCTTCTGATTGACATTTATGCTGTCTCCCTCATCCCATGGCACTATAAAATGCTTTAATTGACATCATGGATCTTTTTCCTCAGGTGGGCAGCAGCTAGTGGTGAAGTTTCACTGAATGCAATGATTCTTCCAGCTGCTCTGTATTTTTGGCAATTGCCTCATTTCATGGCCCTTGCCTACTTTTGTCGGAATGATTACATTGTTGGAGGGTAAGTTCTTCTTTATTGATTATATAAGATCAACCACAGTGAAAAATGGGGATTGTTAATTATCGCCAATGGTTCTTGCATTCAGGTTCAGGATGTTATCATTTTCGGATGCTTCCGGTCGGAGAACTGCTTTGGTTTCTTTCAGGAATTGCCTTTATCTGCTTCCTTTGGGATTCTTGGCATATGATTGTAAGTTGTAGTTCTAGTTATCCTCCGCCTAGATTTATTAATATCGATGATCTATTTCTAATTCTCTTAACCTTCATTTGCGTTTGGCTAGTTGTTCGCAGGTCATAGTCTTATCAAATTAGGAGGGAGCATAGTTTAATTGATTCTTCTTTTATAGGGTGCAACTATCTGAGTCATCCTTATTTTATGTAGTAGTATTTTCCCGATGGAGATTACTATTATCAGCTTAGTTGGTTATGTGATTGCTTATACATGGTATAGAAATATCAAATTAATGCACATTTTGGTTTGAAATTTATTGAGATGAACTGATTTGAATGGCCTTATTTTTCTCCATGTCTCTTCATTATTTGTTAATTTCTTAATACATTTCTGATCTTCATGGTGGATAAAAAAGTGAATTCAGTTTGAACATTGCAGTGGCTTTAAGTAGCTGGACAAAGCTTGAAGAAATATGATTTTACTGCAATTCTTCTTGATTAAATGTCTTGTGAGTCTGTTCTATTTATTTATCCGAGAAATGCTGTTGTTTAGCTGCAAACAGCTTTCCTTCAATGTAATGGTCAAACGTGTTAATCTTTTTGTTGTCATTTAATAAAGGATAATTGTCCTTGTGCATGATCCTGCAGTTACGCTTCTTACATGGTTGTGAAATGGATTCAAGTTCTACATAAGTAGAACTTACAAGTTTGTAACTATGTGAAAGAATGAAGCCACACGCATATACACCCCCCACCAAAAAAAAAAAAAAAAACTGAAATGCATGCTCTGGTTGGCATGCATATTTGGCAATTCAGCTTTATAGCTGCCTACGTAGTTCATTTGGGTATTGAGCTACCTATGAGGGAACAGTTAAACCTCTTCTATTACATTCCCTTGATCACATGCCATCTGTCTGGCTGTTCAGGCCAACTTTTTCGGCTTATTTTAAAGAATTGAGGCATGTTTTTCTCCGCTGATGTGGACAATATCTGTGCAGGGGGTATCACTTCTAAATGGTTCGCTCTTGAATCATCACTGCTCACGCTCTGCATGACTGCTGCAGCCCTATCATTTGTTCAGGATCGTTCTACAAAGAATGCTCGAAGAATGTTCCATGCTAGTCTTCTATATCTCCCAGTCTTCATGGCCGGTTTCCTATTGCATCGATTGCCCAAGGTTGAAGCTGATGAAGAACTATTGGTCTCTGAGACCCAAGAATTCATTAGTGATAAAACTCATAAAAGTAGCAGTTGGCGCAGAGAACTGAAAAATGGTGATCAAAGTCAAGTTCGCCCACCTGTTGCATTTGCTTCGGTTGCTCCTTTCCCTTTCTTGCCTGCTCCTTTGTATGTTTCCCCAGATTCATGAGGTATGCTTATGACCACAACTTATCCCCATAGTATTTTGTGGTTACTATGTGTAATCTGTTCATAAGTTTTTTTTTTATCCCTTGAGAACTGGCAGGTTTTTCTTCTCAAGTTTTGATGTACTTAAGCCAAATCTTGTCTACATGGCTTTTTTTTTGTTTTATGCCACCGTCAACATGTAAAATAAGTTGAAAGCAGGCGCTTGAACAGATTGTGGGTCCTTGATGACTTCGCCTTAATCTTTTCTCAGTTTCTTTATTGTTTATTTTTTGGTTGAATATGTATAAACACCAAAGCTTGAGATATTTGGCATCAGTGTGGAATTCACCTGCTAAATTGACTGCAGCCATTATGGCTGAATCCTGCAGCGCCCAGAGATTTCATTTTCTAGCAGGGTTAAAATAGAGAATTAGAGAAATTAGTAAATTTAACAAAACTGTCGTGAATTATTACGACGAGTTTGGGTACGAGTGTTTGAATTGGAGATGTATTAGCAATGTATATTTTCAACTATATGGGTTGTAGTTACGTATACTATTTGGTTGATTAGTGCTGCAAAATCATTTTTCAAAGTTGCGGACGTGTAAATAGCAAAATCGCTGAGAAAATGGGAATAGATTCCCCCCTCTAGCTTACTGTTGAGGGAATGCATGTCAATTAGAGTATCATTGTAATTACTTTATTTTTATCTTTTAATATGATTCAGATATCTCTTTAGAGTTGTGACATTCTCCAATCGAGCAATTTGTTGAAGTTAGCTTTCGTTGTTTTGTATATCTATACTTTTATATCAAGGATTTTCTGATGTTAGCCACTTAAATCTTTAATATTTGGAAACCAGTCATTGAAATTTCTATTAGGCTTTTCGATACTTATATCATACTACGACTATTCTTGATTGAAATAGTTTATAGAAATTGAAGGACCTTACATGAATTTTCTGGATTCTGAGGGTTAATTTTGGAGGAACTTAAAAGAATTGGGGTTTAAATAGCAATTTAATAACTAATTTCATTAAAGTTTTGAGTGGCTACTATCAAAAAAAATCCCTAAATCATATCCGGATCTAATCCATTTTTCAACCCTGGGATAGGGTGAGCAAAGGGTCGAGAATTTTTAGTTAAAATACCATACTATTACCTCTTTTATAATTTTCACTCATCTGACAAATTTATCAAATCAATGATTTTATAAACTAAAATTAAATATTTATTAATTAAAATATATAAAAATATCCATATAAATTATCTAATCACCTTAAGCAATTATAAAATTTTAGCCAATTTATGTTGAGATTGATCGATTTAGTTATTCTGATTTTAAATATTTAATCGATGGGTTTAGGTACTGTTTGGCAACAAGAGAAGGTTTAGGTACTGTTTGGCAACAAGAGATTGTGTCTTATCTAAGAGATTGTCTTATTGACTTCGTCAATAAGCTAGTAGAGCTTTTTGGTGATAAAAAATAGGAGGAGATTATTTTGAAGATTGTGTCTTTTACAAATAGCTTTTGGAAAGCTAGCTCAAGTAGCATTCTTTGGGAATGATCTGTCAATTTTTTTTCGTTTTCGCCCCTAATAATTAGGGCAAATGAAAGCTACTACCCCATCCAAAAAACCCTAGCTCTTTTTCATTTTTCACGCCTGACACCCCTTATGCTTCTCTTGAGCATGTTTCTCCTCCATCTCCATTGAAGGTCATTGTCAAGGTATATAATAATATATATATATATATATATATATATATAATATATATATATATATATAATACTAATAATATATATATATACTATATAATATATAAAACATATTAGAGGGTATCTTTGTACACAGGACTCCTTGTAGGTGAATGTGGACACATCTTGTCCATACATCAACACCTTGAAGATGGAGCCTCACCAACTTCAAGGTGTAGACTGTAATGGAGCAAGATGTGTCAACTCACTAACCAATGATCCTTGGCCCAAGTATACCATATTCCTCAATATATATATATATATATATATATATATATATTATACTATTATATAATATATTATATATAATAGTATATACATATGAAATGGAGAAACACTTGTACCAAAGTTGCTCCAAATAACTTGGTAGTTGACTGTGGCCGTAATTTTGGTCCTAATCTACATTGGAGTTGGTGCGAATGATGTTGAGGCTCATCTTCGAGGGTGTGATGTAGGGGCAAAGATTCAGGTCAGCATCACTACCAAGTTGCTTTAAGTCAACTTGGTGACAAAGGTTCTCCATATTCCATATATAAATGCTTATATATATTATATATATATATATATATATAGATGTATATATATATATATATATATATAATATATATATATATAGAGAGAGAGAGAGAGAACAGAGAGAGGAGAGAGAGAATAATGGGTATGCTATGGTAGCCGAAACATAAATTTTATGCTTGGTAGTGATGTGTCAGCATCCTCATCACACTCACCTACCATGTGAATTTGTTCCCACATTTGAAATGAGTGGAGAGGGATTTGACACACTCACTATCAAGCATAACTTTTGTGCTTGTACAAGCATACGCCATATTTTCTCCACAACACACACACACACACACACACACACACACACTAACAACACACACACACACACCATATATGATATATATATATTATATATATATATATATATATATATATATAAAATATATCATAGACGAGAGAGAGAGAGGAATATGGGTATGCTTGTACCAAGCACAAATTGTGGCGTTGGTAGTGGAGGTGCGGCATATTATTCTGCCGCACTCATCTCAATGGGGGATCACATTCATATGGGTTGAAATGTGGTCCCCCAATTGAATGAAGTGGATCGAAGAATGTAACACCTCACTACCAAGCAGGGCCGGTTCTGAGATTTTAGGGGCCCTGTGCGAAAAGTAAACACATGGCTCTTCTCTATATATAAAATATCAATAAATTTGAGTGTCCGTCATCGGCAAATGTCATCACCTTCCTGCAAGCAATCAACTTCTCTAATAACCACCTTCTTGCTCATCCTCTTTAAATGGTTTCAGCTATTTTTGTTTCTTAGAACCTTACGCACATCCAATGACCAAGAAGCCACATTTCCTATGTCCCCAAAAAATAGTAGCATCCCTCTGGTTCTCTACCAAAATAAAGCCTCACTCTCTGCCGAATAAGAATTCAGGAACAATTCAATACTCTTTTAAGAACTCCGAAAATCAGATCATACTCAAGTTATGATTCCATATAAAACACCAAATTTAAGAACTCCGAAAATCAGATCATACTCAAGTTATGATTCCATATAAAACACCAAATTTACATCCAGGGGTATCCAAAAGAAAAACCAGATCATACTCAAGTTATGATTCCATATAAAACACCAAATTTACATCCAGGGGTATCCAAAAGAAAAACACACGTCCTAAATTACTATTTTGGATGAAATAAATCGACAGAAATTATCATAATGAAAAAAAGGGATTTTAAAGAACAACCAAAGCATGAAATTTCTCACCCTATAATAAAAAAAATAGATGAATCATACCGAAACATAACGAAACTTCCTCTTCGACGGGTCCTCGGGTGTGGCAGGAACTCCATCGTTTTTTGATGGAGAAATCAGAGTCCATTTGTAGAGCTGCCTAGATCTGAATCGAGAGATCTTACCGTCGTAGTGCTCGTCTTGCTTCGCGAGCTTGGCGATGTAGACGAACCCCTCTCTCGACGCCATTGGAGATCAGATTTGAGCGGATCTGGCGGTGTCGTGGCGGAGAGAGAGGTCGATTCGATACCGTTTTGGGAGGCTTCGTTTTGGGGAGGAAGAAGGGTCTTGGAGTTGGTGGGGGCGGGGGGGTTCTAGTTTGGGGAGGAAGAAGGTTTTTGAGAAAAGGGGGAGAGAGATTTGGTTTGGGGAGCTGGTTTTGGGGAGAGGAGAAGGGTCACAGAGCTGGAAGCAACCTATTTTACCAAAAAAAAATTTAGGCCCCCAATTTTCAGGGGCCCTGTGCGGTCGCACCCTTCGCACACCCTCAGAGCCGGCCCTGCAAAGTAAGACTTTAAATTCCAACTGAGACCTTTCAGTGTCAGTCCTTAAACCCTCTTAAAAGCAAAGGAATAAAAATAATAATTAATAAAATATCCCCAAATTGAAGAAACAATTGGCATTGAAATTCATCATCTCACAAACTTACTCTTTTTCTTTTTCTCTTTTTTTTTGAATAATTTTAATTTTATATTAATAATATTGCATGTCCTTTTTAGTCATTTAACAAATTTAAGCTAGTTGTATAACTACTTTTGCCAAATAGCTCTACTTCAAATCAGCTAGCTTAACAGCTTTCAGCTAGTTTTGCCAAACAGAACCTTAATTGGTTCACAGGTCACCCCCGTTTACGGAAGAGACCTCGCCGCCAATCTCTCCCTCTCTAGTGTTAGCGCGTGCATAAATAGACATATATAGATCAACACCACAAATGCTAATGCGTAAACTTTCAAATTGTAGTATTCACATTTAATCAGAGTATGCGCGTGAATGCTTCCTGTATATACCCTTATTTTTGTCATATCGTGATAATGAGAGCCGAAGTTTATAATTTAATTTGTATTAGAATTATAGCTTTGTATGCGAATAAGAAATTCATCTGAGTGAACTGTTCACCAACCAACGAAAGCTTAATCGGATCACCGTTCAGGACAGATTTTCTTTGCTGAGATGCCCAAGTTGCCCCCAGTTGGGAGCAAACGGTTATCCCCAAGTCAGGGCCGGTCCTGAGATTTTTGGGGCCCTAGGCAAAATTAAAAAATGGGGCCCTTAACTGATAAACTGTCTATTAATAACAAATATATTTTATTGAAATGAAATGAATATAAGATTACAAAATTACTTAAAACAATTTCTTCGAGCATTATTTGATGCAAAGTCATTAATAATACAATCAACGTCTATGTCTTGTAACATCTCATTCTCGATGCTTAGAATAGCCAAATTGTTCAATCTTTCTTGTGCCATTATTGAACGCAAGTAGGTTTTGACCAACTTCAATTTTGAAAAACTTCTCTCCGCTGTTGCTACAGATACATGCACAGTTAATAAGATTCGATAGGCAATTGAAACATTTGGATAACAATCAGCTTGCTTAACAAATTCCAAAATTTGGATTGCTGTCATTGACACTTCTGGTAAAGTTTTTTGTAGCACTCTTAATTCAGAAAACATATCATTAAGATCAATATCAGATGAATCATTATGAGATAAAACACTTTCAAGATGATTGCAACAATTTCTTAATTTACTATCATCCAATGACTTCAAAGTATCTGAATCACATAAAAACCCAAAAATACTTTCAAATGTCTTTAGTTGTTCAAATCTCTCTTTTAATGAATTGATTGCCATATCCACAACAATTAAAAAATAATTAACTCTAAAAGACTCCTCTTTGGATTGTATTTCTTCATCATGATCAGTTTCACCAGGTTGTTTTTTCCTAATGATACGACGTTTTGTTGGAAATGTAGGATCCACATTCATATCAAATGCAACACTTCTAGCAATATCCAAACTCTTCTCAAACCCATCATTTCTAAAATTTTCAAAATATAACATCACGTCTCTCACCTGATTCATAGTAGTGTTAATATTCATATTTTTATTTTGTAATTTTTTTGCTAACCATGTTAATAGCAAACAAAACATCATACCAAATAATCATACCAAGTAAAAATTCAAAGTTCTCAATTGCAGTGACCAAACTTTCAGCTTCACTCTTTGTTTTCGCATCTTCTGAAGTTTTATATAATTCTAACAAAGCCAATCTTATGTGAGGAGCTTGAAATCTAATGGCTTTTACACTTTTCACTCTACTCTCCCAACGAGTATTACACAAAGATTTCACAGTAAATGATGGAACATTATCAATTAAAATCTTCCACCTCTTAGTAGAACTCGAAAATAATGAATATATACGTTGCACAACTCCAAAAAATGAGATAGCTTTAACACATGAATGTGCCATATCACTAAGAGTAAGATTGAGACTATGGCAAGCACATGGCATATATAATGCTCTCGGATTAATTTCAAGTAATCTTTTCTGAACACCTTGATGTTTACCTTTCATGTTAGAACCGTTATCATAACCTTGGCCTCTAATATCATCAACATCAAGATCAAGTAATTGTAATACACTTAACAATTCATTAAAGAGCCCCAGTCCAGATGTATCATCTACCTTCACAAATTCCAAGAAGTACTCTTCTATCTTTATTTGATTACTGGACATATTCACACAACGTACAACTAGGACCATTTGTTCTTGATGACTTATATCTGGAGTACAATCAAGAATTACAGAAAAATATTTTGCTTCTTTAATTTTCTTAATGATAGAGCTCCTAACAGCAAGGCCTAAACGAGAAATCAACTCATTTTGTATTTTGTTGCTAAGATAATGATAATGAACTTCATGATTTTGAACACGTCTAACATGCTCTTGCATTACTACATCAAATTCTGCAATCATCTCAATAAGTCTTTTTCTTTTTTCTTTTTTCATTTCCGCATAAATATTTTCGAGGCGCCATTTTCTTTAAATAAATAACTAAACAATTCTATGAGATTTAAGACAAATAACAGAAACAATTACAATCAAATAACTTAGTAGAAAGAAAAGGAATAATAGCACCTGATTAAGTGTATGACAATGCCCAAATAGCCAATGAAATAATTGCAATGTATCTTTGAGAACAAATTTTAGATGGAGAAGTTTAATATACAAACTTTTCTTGATTATCCTATGAAATATAATCCCTTTACATAGTGGAGAGAGATTAATAATTATTTAATGTTAGGAGTAAAAATTAAATATCAAACGGTTAAAAAATTACATGTCAAACGGCTGAATAAAATTTGTTGCAAAAAAAGAGGAGTCCACTCTCCAGATTTGCATTATAGCCTTATAGGAGGGATTAGTTAGTTTGATTGATTAAATCAATCCCGTGCTTCTTGGCAACTTAAACGACAATAATGCAATTAATAAGGCAATTCAATATTTCAATTCAATGACTAAGTTTTAGCTTATAAATATTATTGGGCCAGATTTTAGGTCATACAAAATTTAATAAACTAATGGACCCTATAAAATTTTGGGGCCCCCTTTCAGCGGGGGCCCTGTGCGGTTCCCCCCCCCTGCCATAGCCCAGGCCCGGCCCTGCCCCAAGTCCAGAGCTCCCGATGCCACCTAATCCGTAGTCTAACTTTACAAAGCCATGAAAAATCACCCAAGTCCTAGAACAAAGGAACGAATCAAAATATAAAAGATTTCAAATAAGAGTTGGAAAAAAAAAAAAGATGAGGAGAAGCTCATTAATAATTTGATTTTGGTGTAGGTAAGTGTAGCGCAGAAGCTTGGTCTCATTGCGAGAGCTTTGTGCCCGTGATTGTCCTTTGCATTCCATTACAGCTTAGGGGGGGTTATTCATTAGGGTAATTGTTGGGATAATGGGATAATTTTTGGAACACTAATGTTTGGTGTTATTCATTGGGGTAATTGGAACTGGGGTAATATTTGTGATGGTATTGGTTTGTTGGTGTAATTGGGAGACAAATACCCCACTTTCCCCTAAATTATCCCACCTGTAAAAACCAAAGCTCAGCCCACCCTCAAAATTTACCCCCCTTCGTTTGCTGGAACAAATTACCCCACAACAAATTAACCCACTTCGTTCTCCACCGTTCTCAATGAAGACGACGATGTGAGCTTCTTCGTCATCGCCGCTAGGGTTATCGGAATCGACGCCGCCCTCGTTGATCTCTTCATCGCCCTCCTCGTCATCGCCGTCCTCTTCTTCGTCTCCCTCTTCTTCGCCGATGGCGGGAAAGTTGAAGCCGTCCTCGCCCTTATTAAAGCTGTCCTCAGCGGCGGACAAAAATCCCCGTTGTCTCCCCCCTTTCCCTATCCACTTGATTAGGGTTCCGATTTCGGTCAGCCACGCGCTCAAGATCTCCCTATTTCCTCCTCATTTGATAGGGTTTGGGTTTTTATTGGGGATTTTGTCCTCAATTTCGATCATCCACGGCTCGAATTGAACCAGAGGCTTGGAGTTTCTGATTCTGGTCGATATTAGGAGCAGGGATGGAAGTTCATGGAGAAGGGGATCACCAAGCTGAAGAACATCTTGGAGGGGTTGCCGGAGCCTCAGTTCAGCTCTGAGGATTACATGATGCTCTACATGTAGGGTTTTTGATCTGTTGCCTGTGATGTTTTGCCCCTTTTGGTGATTTATCCTGATTTTAGCTTGCTTTTACTGTGGATATGCTGATGCTAACTTTGCTTGAAATGCTATGATATATTGCCAGATTTCTTGCTTGTGTGTGTCTTTGACTCTTTATGATGTTAAAACGTGTTAGCTCTTCATAATTTCTAGTCATTGTTAACCAGGCCTGAATAAGGTCCCACGAGATGAACATAATGTATTCAAACTTCATTCCTTGCATCTCATTCAATCATGGTTTGTTGCTCAGTTATCATGTTTCATATACCAACACCTGTCGTGTTGCAAGTAGAGTTCTATATGGTGAGAATGCCTATCGCAGAAGAGATCAAATCCGTTGTGGTTAGTTATTCACCATTCGTTTTTGAGAGGAGGTGTAAAAGTACTGAATTGCTACGGAATTGTTACATTTCACTATAGTTGTTGATCTAGCATAATAGTTAAAATAAACATCAAAATATTTTAAGATCCATAAATATTAATATTATTATATTATTTTTAATATTTTATATTAAAACAATCTTAAGAATTAATATTATTTTATATTATAACTATTATTTATTTAACCATTTGATGTTATATCAAGTTAAACTTGAATTTAATTGAGCTATAAAAATAATATTATAAAAAGATGTCATACTAAAATTGTCCCACTCAAATTGTCCCATTACCCCATTTTACCCCACTTTATCCCACTCAATTATCTCATTGGGTAAAATTACCCTATTGGAACAATTTACCCCAAATTACCCCAAATTACACCAACGAATAACCCCCTTACAGTAGAGCCCGTGAGCACTTTAGCTTCACTTTTGTATTGTTCTCTGGATTGCAGCTTCTTACAATCAAACCCCCCATGTGAACTGTACCATCGTGCCCTCTTTTGCTGCAGATATGAATTTGTCGGTTTGCAAGTTTTAGTTGCTCTCACAATTATATTTTAAGGATCGTGGCAATTGGTGAGCAACAAAATGTCTCCTATAATTATAATAGTGTGCGCCCTCTCCAAAACATGACCCTTTAATATTTTTAAGCATTGCATTTTAGACTAACCTCAGTCTAAGTTTTAATACATTTAATCTGATTATTGTATGCTTAAAATTAGAAATTATATCTACTCCTCTATACTTAAAGGAGAATCCAAGTTTTAATATATTTGATTTAGAAATCATACCTACTCCTTTATACTTGGAGGATGATCTAAGTTTTAATACATTTGATTTGATTTACTGTTTATGATACAATAAAATACATAGTGGATGATTTGATTTACTGTTCACAATAGAACAAATTTTCACTGTAGACCCAAATGAACTTTTAATTACCAAAATCGACTTTTTTTTAATTATCAAAATCGACCCGTTTTATGTCACGTAGGCTTAATCCCGTTTTCTAATTAGTCGGGGTTGCCAACCCTGACTGTTTAGGAGTTGTTAAACCCTAATTAGAAGCCTTAAAACCTGATTTGTAATACCCTAAACAGTCGGGGTTGGCAACCCCGACTAATTAGGAAACGGGATTAAGCCTACGTGGCATAAAACTGGTCGATTTTCGTAATTAAAAAAAATAGTCGATTTTGGTAATTAAAAACTCATTTGGGTCTACAATGAAAATTTGTTCCGTTCACAATATAGTAATTTGCTGCAACGGACGGACTGAGGATCGATTTACTGTTCACGTCACATAGTTACCATAGCATTTACTGTAGTATGAATAGTGATTCTTTGGAGCCCACTATAAGTATAGAAGAGTAGATTTCAAGTACTATCACGGTGATTAGCGTGCGACCAAACATTTGGAGTTGATTGGTTAGTTACAGAAAACCCCCCTGTTTTCGTCAAAAGTTGCCTTCATCATTGATTTCATTAGAACTTCAAACGTTTACAAACGAATTCAAATAACGAAAATAAAAATTACAACTTTCTTGAAAATAAACACAAAATCCGTTTATCGTCTCTTGCTTGCGTGGGTCTTTGGCCTGTGACGGGGACGTCGATATCCGTGGACTACCTGGCAATCAGATCTGATCCAGAAAAATCGGGCAGAGCTTCGTCGATCCGCGAGGAGATCTAGAAGCTTGAAGCGCCTATCTCGGCTAAAGCGAGATATTTGCTCTTCTTAGGATTACCGGCGAAGGGTAATGCTAAGGAACGGACACGGGTGATGCAAATCTGATAAAGACCTCTCTTGTGTTGAAGCGCTCGACCACTCTTCACTGCAGCAGGGCTTCGCCAACTCTCCAAAAATCCAGATCCTCCAAAAGTGAGGTCTAAGGTTCCTATTTATAGGCAATGAGGGCACCTAGGGCGTTGGGACACCCCTGGGGTGTCTAGGCAAAGCCTAGACACCCCTGGGACACCCTTGGGGTGTCTCGGAATTTCCAAGACACCCCTGGGGTGTCTCGGGATTTCCGAGACACCCCTGGGGTATCTCGGAATTTTCCGAGACACCCCTGGGGGTGTCTCGGAATTTCCGAGACATCCCGTTGAGGTGCATTCGTCCGCTTCCGCTGTAAATTCTTCGTCCGAACTCGGATTTGAGTGATTCCAAGTCATTCGTGGAGACCTATAGGCAATTTTCGATGCATACAGATACCCCCTCCAAAGCGTTCCGGACTCGTTTCTTTTATAGAAGAGGCTGGAATACTTTGGATGTGATTGGTCTAGCCTTTAGTCGGCGTAAAGGACCTGCAGTTAGCTTCAACTCTTGGCTCTTTCGATTCTCGGTCTATTCGATGCTTTGACGAATAGCCGAAGTTCTTCCGGCGCTGCGTTTATCGCTTGGCCGTCGTCGGAGTCTCGAGTCTACAGCTGATGAATTGAGTTTGGCTTGTGTCATTGAGTTGACTTTGAACTACCTCCATCACATTGTGTTGACTTAGGGTTTCGGATCACAATATGTTGACTTTTTGTTGTAACGCGTTTACTGGCGTTGACCTAGGGTTACGCGTTGACCGGCGTTGACCCTAGGGTTTTGAATCGTCGAACGTTGACTTATATGGATTTCGAATCCTCGAACGTTGACTTTCGTTACAACGCGTTGACTGGCGTTGACCTAGGGTTACGCGTTGACCGGCGTTGACCCTAGGGTTCCGAATCGTTGAACGTTGACTTTGGTCGCAACGCGTTGACTGGCGTTAACCTAGGGTTACGCGTTGACCGGCGTTGACCCTAGGGTTTTGAATCGTCAAACGTTGACTTTTGTCGCAACGCGTTGACTGGCGTTGACCTAGGATTACGCGTTGACCGACGTTGACCCTAGGATTTCGAATCGTCGAACGTTGACTTTTGTTGCAACGCATTGACTGGCGTTGACCTAGGGTTACGCGTTGACCGGCGTTGACCTTAGGGTTTTGGATCGTTCGTCGTTGATTAGTGTGGATTTCGTCGAAATGTCCAACAACCGGCGAAAAATAGGCAAATTCGGACTTCGAAAAAGGTTCGGGGGGTCAAAATTGGGTTAAAACACCCAAGGGGTGTCTCAACAAAACCGAGACACCCTTGGGGTGTCTCGGTTTTGCCGAGACACCCCTTGGGGTGTTTTGGCCAAAACCGAGGTCCCCCCCCCTCTCTTTTTTCCTTTCTTTTGAATTTTCTTTCCTCTTTTGTTTCCCCCCTTTTCCAAATTCTTTTCAAAAGAGGATTCTTTCCCTCTTAAACCTCTTCTTCTACCTCCATCCCTCCACCATTGTTTCATCTCTTTCAAGAGCTCCGAACCCACAAAATATTTGCATTTAAAAACCCAAAAAAAAATTCGGATCTTGGTACCCTCTCCTTGGCCGAAAATTCTCTCTCCGCCAAGCTAGGGTTTTATCATCTTCAACCTCAAGGAAAGCTTCTTGATTTGGTAATCTCAAAACTTTCTCCTCCCTTTTGAAAAGATTATAGCTTTATGCTTGTAATGAATTTTTATGCCAAGATCATGTCTTTTTGGTTCTCATGGGTTGGATTTCATGAAAAAGATAAGCTCTTGATGATGGGTTGTGAGTATGAACCAAAATTTGGGCTTTTATGCAAAGTTTGCAATATGGCCGAAATTTGGGGGGGCTTTTGCGCAAGAGAGGGCTGAATTTTGTAGGGGCCTTTATGCAAAATAGGACTGAAATTTTGAGGCTTGGACTTTAGACCCGCTTGGTCACAACTTTGAGGGGTGCTTCATGCAAAGAGTCAATGTTTGTTTGAGGGGTTTATTTGTAAAAAGCAACCCACAAAGTATAGAGGGGTTTATTTGCAAAAGGGCTGAAATTTAGAGCTGAAATTCCAAAAGTTTAGATCACAACCCAATAACCAAAGTTTTGATAAAGGCATGTGGACGTTAATTTGAAATTTGTGAAGGGGTCTATATGCAAAATTGGCTAAATTCTACAAAAGGGCTTATTTGTAAAATTAACCAAAATTGTGGGGTATCGGGGGTGCTATATGATCAGATATGATGACCATGACCCAACTCGAGCGTGTCCTTGACCCGAACTTAGCCTTGAACGTAGGAGTCGTTCTCATTCACAGCATAGTGAGGAAGAGGTTCCCTCGACGTCTTCCCCCGTGGCCTCGTTCTTCGGGGGTGAGAATTTATGTAGATTTTTTTTTGCATCCCTGATTGACCTCTTTGCGGGTCATGAAGGAAGAACCGACACCCTCCTTCGCGGGGGTTAAGGTTTCAGACTTGTCTTGCTTGGCCAATTCAAGTCTTCTGGTATATTGGGGCGATTTTGTGTCGTCCTACACCTTATAGGTCGGTGTATGTTACCACGTTATTCACGTGATGATGCATACCGTTCTTCCGGTGTAGGACACTCAAAATCGTCTCTCCAATTATTCCGTGAATGAGCTTATCTTTCTTCTTATGAGATGGATTTTCTGACTCTATCCTTGTGCTTTATTGCAGTAGAGTTTCCTGCGGGCAGCCTTCCTCCTCATGCCAATACTGGTTGTAGCCGAGAGGTCTTCTCTTCAGCTTCTCTCAGGCAGGCCGTTAGTCCACTCCCTCGGTTTGACAGAGATCGCTCCGATGAATCCTGTCGCTTGCTACGGGAAGGAGGGCGTCATTGCTTGCGCCAGCTTATTACGGATGCCTCCTTTACTACGGATTCTACCTCTACTCAGGCTTTAAAGAAGCCGAGTTTCCTGTTCGGAGATCACGTCGAGGATCCTGCTACGTTGACCCTTACCGAGGAACACTGGCTGACTCTCGACGAAGGAGCTCTCTTGTACATTCCCTCCATTCCGCGTCAATATTCTTTCAGTCACTTGAAGGGACAGGCCGTGGAACGACAGATGTCTTGGCATCTTACTGACGATGCTGAGCGAGTCCAGTGTGGATATGCCTCTCATCACAAGACTCCTGGTTCTAGCGGGTATCATGATATTCGTGGTCTTCGACCAGGGATCATGGGCCTTGACACTGCACCCCCAGGCGAGGTGTCAGCAGCTGCTCCTACCGTGGGTAATCGTCTGGCTCTTCTGGGGAGAAGGTTACCTCCACCAGATTATAGATGCTATGGTTGGGCTTCCTCACTAGCCAAGGGGTGGTGGGCACGCATGACCAGTTTCGTCTTGGCGCGCTGGGAGAGGGATTTGAAGAGCAGTGGATTGTATGCACCTATACGAGCCACCATGTACGGAATCCCGGTCAGCTGTCGCCATTTCTTGGCTTTGCTAGAGACCTACATGCCTGACAGTAACACCTTCCTGACCAGCGGTGGCGAGTTAGGGTTGGCCTTGCATGAAATGCATCAGGTTTCTGGTCTTCCGATGGGGGATTGTCCATATCAGGAGTATTTTCCCTTGAACCAGCAGTTGGAGTGGATGAAGAAAGATACTCCCAATATGTATGACACTCTTTGGGATCTTACTTGTCACTATTATACCTCCTTGGTCCAGACTTCTCTTCTAGCGAAAAGGAAGAGGCAGATCAGCTTGAAGCAGTTTGCTAGCTATTTGTTCCAGAATTTGGAGGGTAATTCCAGCGAGCCCATTCGTGAATTAGATGTGTTGACCCCTACCGCCGTTAATGAGTTGGTGGAGAAGGCTGAGGCTCGTTCTTACACCATTGCCAGTGCTGAGGGAGCTTTTCCTACGGGAACCAAGTTTCGTTCTTTTCTCTGTCGTGCACAGAAGTCCATTGGGCCCCGGACTCTACTAGCAGGCTACCTTGCCCTTTGGTTGAAGAAATGTGTTGTCCCGTACCAGCCTTCAGACGCTCTACCTATCGAGGTGCTCTTCCCTGCAGTTCAGCTAGCTTACGGGAGAGAGCTTTCCCTGCTCCCAGCGATGGTTGCTGGCATCCATTGCGGGCTTAGGTGTCTAGTCAGCAGTTTTACACAGATGGGTTCTGAACCATCGACTGAGCTTATTTGTCCGAAGGTCGAGCTTCCTTACGCATATCTGATGGCGTGGCTCGTTCTCCACCGTCCCGACTTGATGTCGGCGCCCAGCGTTGTTGACATCCCCGTCCCTTTCATGCAGCTGTTGGAGAAGAGCAGATGGCTCGGGAACAAATTCAGTGATGTACAACGAGAGCTTCGAGTCCGTAAGAGCTGGGAGTTCTTCAAGTGTTTTCCTCACTTTTCAGGTCGCTATGGCGACGTGCTGATTGACGAGGAGAAACCTAGAAGTGACCGGACTGTTCTCGACGTTGGTTGTTTCCGCTGGTTAGTGAACATCCGCGTTAGGTATCTTGTCCTCCGAGTGAAGAATCAATGCCACATAGAGCCTTACCTTCCCTGCCGCTTTGCTCGTCAGTTCGGCTATGACCAACTATATGTCGGGAATCCAAGCCGTAGCCTGCAGGTTGAGGGAGGACTTATTGATGGCGTACGAGCATGGCTGTGGACTATGGTGGGCTGCACTGGAGCCCATTTTGCTCTTCCTTCATATAGGCGTAAGCCGCTGACCACTTTCCTCAGTTGCAAGTGGTTCCTTTCCGCCTATGAATCCATAGGTGTGAGGAGCCTTTCAGAGTTACAGTCTGAGTACTCGGTCCGGGCTGCTATGATGGCTGCTCGCAGGGCTGAGCTTGCTCAGAAGCGGAGAAAGGGGCATGCCAAATCTCTTCTCACAGATGATGAAGAGCTCCTTCCTACGGGTGACGACGACGAGACCTCCGAGGAAGAATATGTGGATCATAAACCCCACGACGGTCAGCGTCCTTATGGAGTGGGCTTAGGAAAGCATCGCCGATGGAGGGGAAGGTAACATTTATTTTTATTGCTTTAAGGTGATTTACCTTTTGGGATTCGTAACTATGTTTTATGCTCCAGGGTTCTTCGATGAGGGTGAACTTCCATCGGGTCCGGTATCTCCTGGATCGGATAACATGGATTGCTTCATGCAGCAGATGTGCGACGCCCTTCATGACGGTTCTCTGGGCATCGATCTAAACATTGATCTTGAGCAGGTGAATAGTGTTGAGCCCACCGTCCCATATTCAGGTATATCTACATCCAATGATACCCTCCTCAAGCATGGGGAAAGAGAATCTTCTGTTTTTGCTGCAGGTATTTCTGAGCTTTCCTTTCCTCCTCATCTTCCAACATTTATGTTACTCTGTAGATGTCGCAATGGAAAGGCCAGCTGAGGATGAAGCCTATCATGATGTAGGTTTCAAGGAACGGGGGTGTGCTCCTGTACCAAGCTTCTCGAAACCCGATGCTGGCTTATTAGCTGACATGCTGGCTGAACAGACTACCAGAGGGACCGTGAAACCATACTTTGGGAGTGATTCATTCATAGGTATATATCTGATTTCCTTCATCTTGCCTGATCTTTTGTCTGACTAACGAATGATTAATATTACAGCGCCAACCATTGGGATTAGCCCAATATCGATTCCTGACATATCTAGCTTACCTCGGAGTGACGGACTTGTAGGTACGCATACGATTTATGGATATCGTACTTCTCTATGTTTATCTGACTTTTGACTAACATACGAGTGCAATCATAGGACCAGCCACCGGGACTGATACTCTTATGACTCCTGGCATTCCCCAGATACCTACGGATGATGGACCTACAGGTATGCAGATGACCTTATCATCCCAATCCTCCTTATTTGTCTAAATTTTCATTTTGACTAATAAAGAAGTGCAACTATAGGACCAGCCGCTTGGGCCGATACCCTTATGACCCTTGGCATTCCCGCTGCATCTGAGGACGGTGGGATTGCAGGTATGCATACGATCTTTTTGTCCCGATTCTCCTTATTTGTCCAAATTTCCATTTGACTAATACAGGAGCGTAACTATAGGACCGGCCGTTGTGCCTGATACTACTACAGTTCCCGGGGCTGAAAGTCTGCATAGAAGCCGCCCTTGCCGAGTGGTATGAGCAATCTGCCTGCAGGGGTTGATATACCCTCCATGACCACTTCTGCCGTTATCTCAGAGTCTGTCGGACCTCAGCCCGAGGGGACCTCCGTTGGCGTTGGTATGCTCGGAATTTGCCTTTGAATTTCCTTATCGTATTCGATAATCCGCTGAACTTCTATATTGTTGCTTGTAGGATCTCGATCTTCTCTATATGAGCGTGTCCGCACCCTTTTGGTCGATACCGATCCTGATAGAGATATTTTTCGTACGGACCTTGGCTTCTTTACTGCCTTTTATAACGGCATGATCGAGAAACTTCTTCACCGAGGATACTGTTTCGATCAGTTCAGACGTTCCTTCTCTCGCCACATGATGATGATGAGGGAAGAAGGATATCCGGAGTTGGCCGATTCCTTCACTGCCGATTTCACTGTTCTGGAGTCAGAGATCCGAGAGTTGAAGGAATTGGAGACTAACGGGGCTTCATCTTTCGTGTCCTCTCAGCTGGAGCATAGGCTGGCACAGTGGCGCGACCTGAGATCTTCTATCGGATGCGAGCTTCAGTCACATGAGAGCTCCATTGCGCAGCTAATGGCTACCGTAGCGAGGAAAGATACAGATAGAGCTGAGCTACTCCGCTCTTTGGGCTCGAGCCGCGAGGAAGTGACTAGGTTGAAAGAGGCTTTGAAGCGCGCCGAGGCATCTGTTACTCTTATTGCAGATGACCTGGCTGGATTAGAGCATTCTCGTGAACAGGCACTCGAGAGGCTAGGATCCACCCAGGAGAGACTGATGAAGCTGAAGAGCGAAGCCGTGGAGATTTTGAGCAGTTCCGAAGAATCTGCTCGAGCTAATCTGTAGGCAGAACTCGATCAGAGTTATGTAGATAGACTTTTTAGTTTAAAGTCTCATGTTCTCAGCCGCCAACTGCCTTCGGGCTAACGAGCTTTTTATTGTATGCTTTTGACTCGATCTATTAATAGAGACTCCGCATTTGCTTTTTTCGTGATCTTTCTGTGTTTATTCTGAATGACAAGATTTACGGGATTTTTTGGCAAACCCCCAGTCATGAACGGGTTTGATATGCCTTTACCGATTACCGTTTGAATCGGGCTAGCATGTGGATTGTCTAGATCCGTTCCACATGTAACGTTGTGCTAAGAGAATTGCTTTTCTTAGACTTTGTGCTATGATTTTGAATACATAGACTTCGCCCTTGTTACGGGAACAGGCTACCCGGCAACACGTGTTAGGTGTTGACTCATCCCTACTTAGGTTTCAGGATAAAATTCCCCAAGTTTAGACCTTGGTGTCTTTTTCAGTCGGTGAAAGACTAAACCGGCAATGTGTGTTAGACATAGACTTTGGGATTTTTTGGCAAACCCCCAGCCTTCAACGGGTTTGATGTGCCTTTACCGATTACCGTTTGAATCGGGCTAGCATGCGAATTGTCTAGATCCGTTCCACATGTAACGTTGTGCTAAGAGAGTAAATTCTCTGAGGCTTTGTGCTATGATTTCGAATACATAGGCTTTACCCTTGTTACGGGAATAGGCTACCCGGCAACACGTGTTAGGTGTTGACTCATCCCTACTTAGGCTTCGGGATAAAATTCCCCAGACTGGATTCTGGTGTCTTTTTTAATCGGTGAAAGACTAAACCGGTAACGCGTGTTAGGCGTAGGCTTATCTCTATTCAGGAGTTGAGATAAAATTCCCCGTGCATCAAGTGCTCGGATTGGAAGTTGGGAATTGTGTCTTTTGTCAGCCTTTTTGGATGATTTCCTCTTGAGCTGTATTTGGATATCTTTCAGCATTTTTTGACGCCTACAAGGACATGCACTTCATCATCAAACGTGATGTCGACTGAGATAAGTTGATCAATAATCGTGTTGAATGATACGGGTGTATCTTCTTCTCTACTTCAGGAGTTTAGTGATTCTCATGGGAGCTTGAGGATAGACGATTCACATGATATCTTGGGAATAGGAGCGTGGATGGAGCTATAGAAAAGCGACGAAAGAAGTTAGAAAGAGCGAAACGCAGAGAACAAGAAAAAAACTGGCAGAATTCTGGCCGATCGACCGCGACAACATGCGCAGTCGACCGCCAACCTGCACGGTGCAGGGTTTGAGACCGGACTCTGTCCGATCGACCGCATCACATGCCGCGGTCGACCGCGTCGGGTTCCTAGGCGTTTTAGGACTTCTGATTGACACAATTTCCTAATTTGATTGAGCTTGTTTATTTATAAGTTTATCATCCACGTTGTAAACTCTATAAATAGAGATTATTTAGGGTTTCTAAAAAGAAGAGATCGTTAGAGATATAGATCTAAAGAGATCAGGTCTAAAAAAGATCAGTTTTGATCTAGAGAAGAATCAGAAATCAGAGAAATCAGAGAAATCAGAGAGGTGAGATCCTAACTAAGAGATTAGGATTTAGAGATAATTAGGAGATTGTTCTTAATTCTAGAGAGATTGTGAGAGAGATATTTGTAATCTATTATTTCTCATAATCTAGAAAAAATATTTTCCTTCGACCAACTCAATTCTTGTGTGTTTTTTTTATCTTTTTCACAACCCACTCTTGATAATTCTGCGATCAAAGGTGCTTATCCGACGACTCGTATCATTAAACTCGTTGAGATGCACCGTGAATGAACATCCTTCTGTCATCTTAAGATTGAAAAGTGTTTTTACGAGATGCACTTTATTTGCAGCTAACGATTGCTCATACATCATTACAAACGCTTCCATAAGCCCTACCATCGTCTTTTCCTTTAAAATATTATGTGCTATAGATTTTGCGAGCGATAATTGGATCTACCCCAGGACCTTTCGATCCAATATTTTTCACTCCTCATCGGATTCCTCTTTCTTCTTTCCTTTTTCTTTACTCATCAACGGATGATAAAGATCTTTCTAGTACAGATAGTCCTTCATCTGTGACTTCCAGTAGGCGAAGTCTGATCTGTCAAACTTCTCAATTTTAGATTTGTCTTCTTCTGTCATTTCTTACACATACAGATCTGAACAAGAGCTCTGATACCAGTTGTTAAGAAATTCAAGCTATTCGATCACCTGTCAAATATGAACTCTCGTGCGGAATTTGCTCTATCGGATCTCGTGTTAAGACAATAGAAAGAAGAAATTTCAGTAAATTTAAAAATTGTAAGAAAAGATAACACAAAGTTTTAACGAAGTTCGGCAACTTGCCTACGTCCTCAGAAGCCGCACAAATAATTTTCTTTAATATTAAAGAAGATTATAAGCTTGCAAAGAAAAGATCTCAAACTTGAGATATCTCAAAAGAGAAGTAACAGAAACTATTTGTTCTTCTTTCAAAGGCGTGAGATTTTTCAACAGGAAAAATCTCCTCTCAAAATCGCTACGGGAACTCTCCATAAATAGACGAGTTTTCCTCTAAAAACTCGTGCTCAAAATCACTGTGGAGAAGACGCTCAAAGCCATCGCTAATCTCTCTGAAAGAAAAAACACCTCGATATCTCCTCACGAATTTCTCATGCACAGGGTTCCCTTTTATAGGGAAACCCTAGCCAGGCTGTCGTGAGCTGGATCTCAAACTCGCCTGAGAAGTGACGCCTCGACCTCGCTTGCGGAAGAAGCTCGCTCGACCTCGCCTGCAGATTTTCGAGATCGCCTGCGCCACGCTCGTTCGACCTTGCTTGCAATGGACTCGAGCTCGCTTGCGATGGACTCGAGCTCACAAACAGCCAGCCTCGCCTGAAGCCCTCACGAGCTCGCCTCCCGCATCGACCTCGCCTGAAATCGCCTGAGGAGCTCACCTGAAGGTTTGGGCTACACCCAACACCAACATCACCTTCTAAACTTGAGGGTTTTTAATGTGTCCTTTTAAGTAACCGAGTAAAAACACAGGATAAGTCATTCCTTCAACTCAACCCCTATGTGGTCATATCTTTCCTTTTACCCGTAAAGAATAAAAGCAATATAACCATAATTTTGAGCATATGTTCCACCGCAATTGCTTCTCCCTGTAGGCGTCAAAAAAATGCCAATAGATATCCAAACATAGAAGAAATTACTCAAAATGACAGATATGAACTGTCTCTCCAGCGGGACAGTGTTTACTGTCTCGTCAGCGAGACAGAGTTTACTGTCTCGCAGCGAGACAGTCTTCACTGTCTCGCAGCGAGACAGTGTTTACTGTCTCGCAGCAAGACAGAGTTTATTATCTCGCAGCGAGACAGTGTTTACTGTCTCGCCAGCGAGACAGCTTTGGGATGATTGAAAATAGTTATATAACTACCATCCACGTGTCCATTAACTGCCAAAAAACATGGGGAACGTCGTTGGCGAGAATCACATTGACAACTGCCAAGATAACGGAGTTTTAAAATGTGGGAAGGCAGTTACAGTGGAAACTGCTGGGCAGTTACAACCGAGACAGCAAATGCTGTCTCGCGAGCCTGTTTTTCGCCAACTGTTCTTGGAGGTTATAAATATCCCCCGAAGGCCATTTTTATGGAAGAGGCTGATCAGAGAGCATCCACAGGCTGATTTCAGAGCAGAGAGGGCAGAGTACTCGAGCTTCTGTAACTCCTTGATATTCAGGCTTTGACTTGATTTCAAGAAGAACGACTATCTTACATTGATAAAATATCGTTTCAAGTTCTCACTTCGATAAACGAAGTCAGAATCATAAACCCCTCACGATTCGATCAGAATCTGTGATTTGGTGGTCCACGGGCTAACGCACCCCCGGCACAGGCAAAGATCCCACGCAAGCAGTGATCCAAACAACGATCCTGTGTTTGTTTCCCAAGAGTTGTAATTTTCATTTTGTTGTGTAAAAGAAGTCTTATAAAAAGGCTATCTCTTTTTTGAATTTATTGTAATCGTCTGAATATATAATGAATTCCATGACAAAACCAACTTTTGACGCAAACACTCCCTATGTTCATCAAGAAAAACAGACAGAGAACAAGATCTATCTCAACCAACAAATTGGACAATTTCAGGTGGGGTGGCCAGGGTTGCACAACCAACAGAAATTCAAAACTATAGGAGAAAGCCGAGTTTGCCTTTCAACTTCATGTCCTACAGGGATCCCTACATGGTCTGGATGTGACAAAATACCTTAGTATGTAGAATGTAAATGGTGGGTAATAAGAGGATGGACATTTGGCTCATCACCTTTCTTGCCTTCCCAAAAGTATTCTGACTTCTTTATACGCCCACGAAAACTTGATATTCGAGGTGTATCAGAAGGACCTAGTTTTTGTTAAAATCATGCACATTGATTGACAGTAATCCACTTGTGAAGAGCTGTATATATTGATTAGCAGAATGAATTTTGCTAAAGCTTCTACACATGTTGGCTACATGTTGGCTATTTAACAGTACATGGCGGACCATCCTGTGAACATTCATCAAGGTCATTTCGCATACTAAAAAAAGGATTTTGTCAGACTTAAAGTAGGAGAAGTGACTGTCTACTTCTGCCATTTTTTTATTTTTCCAAATATCTTATTTTCTTCAACCGGAGCACCAATCCTAGCAGAACCTCCCTCCCGCACGGTGCGGGAGGATCTGAGCCAAATAGGGGGGCAAGTAATGACCAAAATGCCCGTATTTTTTCCAAATATCTTATTTTCTCCGTTCACCCTTTCCCCGTATTTTTTAGCATCAACATGAACTGAATTATAATATAAAACTCCAGTAATAATTTCACAGATTCAAGAATCAAAAATGACTTATAAGATCATCTAGATCAACCAACTCAAGGACTGAATTGCCAACTAGAAATGAGCAATGCCCCCTTTATTCTCTAATCTCTATCCCCCTAAATTAAACAGGCACAAGATCCTATATTCAAACAAAATGAGAACAACAAAAGGAAAAAAAAAAAGAAATAACTGAATCGGAAAAACAAATCGGTAGAAAATCAAAATAAACCCTAACTGAGCATCAGATTCATACCTCTAGTAGACCCTAACAGAACGTTGAGATCCAACTTCGGAGCTTTCTATTTTTAGTTCGATTGAGTGAAGGGGCGAATGGAATTGCCCTGTTTTGGAACCCTTGTTCGTCTCTCGGGATGGGGGAGAAAGATGAAGTTTTGAGCAAAGAA